TTCATGGTTTTACGGAATTCAAAAAATGTTTGTGATTTCGTTACAATTAATAATCGAAAACTGGTATTTTTAGCTCTTACCGCATAGAGTTGGTAAAACTTTTATAGGATGAGGGAGGAGGATACGTAAATTTTTTTCTAAAGAAATAAGTTTCTACAAAGAATGTAAATGTTTTGTAAACAGACGCACGGACAAACGAGCGGAGGTACTGACAAACAGAGCAGCACCTACAAGCACTTTTTTCATATATTATTTGGAATTATACTAAAAAGAATATTCAGCGATTGACAAAATTTTGCCATTACCCAAAAGTATAGTTGGATTTAATTTTTTTTTCTTGAATATTAAATTTTGCGGGAAAATTTAAAAAATAATTTTTATTCTAATTAATATTTTCATTCCAAATGAATGATTAAGCTAATGAAGCGTATAATTAAATAATTTGTTTTTTTTTTTTTTTAATTTGTATTTTATTTTAAGAAATTTCCAATTAAAACTGCTTATTTTAATTAGTTTGTCTAAAATAGTGTATAACCCATAGTTTTTTTCACTTGATTAAATTATCAAGCGTAATTTATAGCAAGTGACAATTGTAGCATTCAATAAAATTAAAGAGGAGTGGTTGAAAGCATATTATTATGCATGTATACATTATTGTTATAAATACAAACAAATATTTGCTTCTTTATGTCAATGTGTTTGTGTAAAATATAAAAGTTTCATAATAAATCACAATAATAATTTTTTTTTTACACAGATTATAAAATGCAAATTGCAAATGATAAATTTTTTTATATGTAATAAAAATTTCAAAAAAATTACAAAACTAAAAACACACAAATTACCAGGATCATAAATAAATGAAACAAAAAAAAAATGAAGATAATTATTGTAATAAAATTAATACCCTTACAGAATAAAATTATTTTCAGAGGATTCTGTTAATGTGTTTGTTTTATTATGTTTATTCCGACCCCGCATCCCGTTGTTTTTGTATATTTTTAATAAATTTTTCATCCTTACATTTTTATTTTGTTAGTTTTCAAAATAATATGCTTATATTGTATACACAGTAGTGGAATATGGAGTGTTTTTAATAATCTGGATTTAAAAACACCCTATAAATTGACCCTATTGAATTCCTATAGTGCTCGATCTGGAAATTTGACATAATTAAGGATTTAGAAATTCAATAAAATTATATTTATTTTAAAATGGTTTTGGTGGTACAATTTCAAAAAACTTAAAGATTTTATCAAAAACCTATATTCTGCCACTGTATATACATTTTTCATCTACATATTTTACATTTTACATGACATTCTTTCGTTTACCGTAAATATGATTATCCTTGAACTTAATAAACAGTTTTTCCCTCTTGAAATTTTACCTAACTACTATATTCTATGATGGATATATATTTATAGTCTATATAATGTATCCTTGTAAAATACTATAATCCTGTTTAAATTTTAAGATAACCTTATAGTTTTTTGTTAATTTTACCTTATAGTTTTTGGTTATTTTACTACATGCTCTGATCCGCATGATTTCATTTAAAACACAATGCTATTGTGGTATTTCTGAATAGTTATATTAGTTACTTTCGAATCTTTCAATCGAAAATATTTTTAAAATGGAGAATAAATTCGAATCCGGCATATAGAATTTCATTTTTCTCTAAAAATTACTTCTTTATACAGTATGAATTTGGTTAAAATTATGAGAGTCTTGTATTAATAAATTGTGAATATAAAACCATAGAATAAGAGAAATCTGTAGAAGAAAAAGTTGCTCTTATTTGTGATATCTTAATGTTGAGAGACTGCATTTATCTTCCTTGGTATCAAGGTGCGGAACTACCCAGCAATCAATGCTAAATTCAAATAGCTATTCATGCATGATCCCAGATCTGTCGTTTTATTTAATCACGACATTTGCCCATTTCTTCAATTCTTCTCCTTTTTTGCTTATAACATTGTTTCTGTGTCTGCTTAGTAGTCTGCGAGTGTATAATACCCTTCTTTTTCTGGAGTGGATTACACTGGCTCTTTGTATTTTGTTAATACATTTCACTTGTTCCCATTTTTCACTCTAATACTTCTTCGATATTCTCTATGGTGTTTTGTTGTTATCAACAAATCCTTCAACGAACGTACGGCAGACGACATTGCTTCGAAAAAGTGTTTGGATCCTATAATACTAACTTTCTTCATATTGTGGAGGAAGGGTTTTTCCTGTTTAATGCAAGTATCAATTATTGTTCTCTACCTCTGTGACTATTAGCTGAAACCTTGCTAGTATTTCAGTATTTCGCAAATGTTCTCACTACAGCTTCAGTGTGGGTATTTATGTTATCCTTGTTAAAATGCTGACACACTCTGTATATTCTTTTTTAGTGTATTATCCTTCTTCAGTCCAAAAACTTTAAAATCAGAATATCATTGTGAAATTGTTTTTATTTAAAATAAATTAAAAGGAATTAAGTTGAGAATTTTTTTATTTTTTTTTTTACATTATTTTAAATGTTAATTTTGTTTACAAAAAAATTGGTTTTTATTCGTGCATAAAAACAAATACACAGACACACTAATCCTAATTTTGTACATGCACTTAAATATGTTCGTAAAAATAACCAGAAAAAAACCAGAACTTGGAATTTTTTTTCATGTTTTTTTTTGGGGGGAGGGGGTAATACGATATGATTAATCTCTGTATATAAATTTCAGAAAACAAAAAAATCTTTATAATTTCCTGAGCGGATTGCTCTCATACAAAACTTTTGAGATATTTTTCAAAAAATTTTTATATATGTTTGTATAGCGTATGTATGTATACAAATAATAAATATCCTTTTAAATAGGAACTGTTTAGTTTTAAATTGTGTGAATTCCATTGAAATTATCCTGTTGGGCAACAGAAAAATTTCCAAATTTTCTTTAAATTTTTAAGGACTTTAAGCATTTTACATTAAATCACGAAATTTTTATGCAATGTTGGAAATTGTTTTTTGTCTTTAAGTTATTATGAGTTATCCGTACATATTTCTTTTTAACTGGTATAATTTCGTTGAAAAAGTAAATTTTAAAAGATTTTTATGTCAAATTTGTCACAATTTATTTTTGACTGAAATTCATGCGTTATTTTGTTTGTATACATTTTTCATATGAAATTCAAAGAAATTAATGAATTGAGAATTTTGAGAAATTTATTTTTTATCAATTGAATTCAATTTGGGAAGGGGTTCCATAATGATACTAAAGATATTTTATGATGAAATTGTGCATTTAAATTAATTAAGTATAAATGTATAATTTTTGTTCTTCTTTTTAACAAAAATTTGTTGCATACCCTTCAGGCGTAAAAAAATTTTGATATCGAGGAATTAGTTGCAAAAATAAAATTGACGACATAAAGTTGATAGGGTTTAATTAATGTCAATTCTATAACAATTCTATAACAATTCTATAACAAGGTTTCATTGGCTAATAATACCTTTTTAGTATACTAAAAATACTTGGAGAGCACAACCCAATTTTAAATTAATTAAAGGCTAATGAATGCCAAATTAATATATTTGCAATGTTCTTCTTAAAATTAATTAAATAAATTAGTGGTCATAAACTGTTCATACGCTCTTAGTCTATAATTACCCACTATTTACAATTCAAGTAATACACTACGAGAACACTAAGAGTACATTATGTTACGAATTAAAATGTGCGCTATGGGAATTTGGGGCTTTTCTTGTGTCGGATCGAAGTAGTTTAAATGTAGATGGCAAGAACTTGACGAATATTAATGACATGACTTATAAATAAGTCTCAAATTCGCTTGATTTTGTAAATGATAATCATCTGCCATTAGTTAGTATAGAACGAATCACTTTACTGAACTTAGTTGATTAGTTCAATTCTTCCCAAATGAATCGTTTATCGTTCACTTAGAATTCCAATTAACGTTTTTTTTAGTTATTATATAATAAATAAATATGTATATATATGAAAAAGAAGTGAACGAAATGAGCAATGAACGAGATTTTATAATCGGTCAGAGAAAACGAATAATTCACTCAGAACGAATCAGTGAGATGAACGATATTTCTCATCGCTAAACTGCAATAAAGAAATTTTCGCAGCTGACATTTTAAAAATTTTATTTCAATAAAGCAGAAAATTTTAAATTTTAAAGTTAAAATTTCATTTTGTCACATTAATAAATCACTTATGCATTAACTTTTAAAGAAATGCCAAAAAAAGAACCAAAATAAAATAATAATTAGTTGCGTTGCCAAGATATATTGGAAATCATGTCGTGTTGGAATTTACTTGCACGCATTTGCATATAATCGCGAACGGTCATTGTTGCTAAATCTTGACACAAAAGTATAAAATTATTTATCTTCTATTAAATCGTAAATTTAGTCTCTGATGTGTTAAACTCACGATTAGGTATGAAATAATAAAAATTATAATTTGATTCCAATATAGTTTGTAATTAGAAAATCATGGAAAATTAAAGTAGAACACATTCAACACAAATTCATTTTGTATTAATTCAATTAAATAACCTAATAAGCAATAGATCGTGTAATCTAAAGATATGTTTTGTTATAAATTTTATCAGCTAATTAATTGGAATTCCAGATTGGTTCAACAAATACCATTTACAACAACTATCGGATAGAAAATTAAATTAATAACATGCGTCTATATTTAAATAAATATTCTTAGTTACAACATAAGTACACATATTATTGATTAATTTCATATAATTATGAACGAATGATTGCATTGAGGGATTAAGTGTTATTTAATAAATAATTTGTTACGTTAAATGCACAAGCAATTTATACATGAGTGGGCTTATTACAATAGAAATTTAGAATAGTTATATTTGTTAATTTAAAACTAAATCAAATTTATTACTTAATTATTAAAATATATTTATGTTTATAATAAATTTCAAATATAATTTAATTTATAATTTGAATTTTACAGATTTTCTGACGCATAAAGAATGCTTTATTCATATAAAAGAAGATTGGAATCGATGCATGAAAAATTTCCAAAGTATTCTAGCAGATGAATTAAATAGTCCTGTACAAAATGCCAAACATAAAAACGATAAATATATGCAATTTTGTTGGTATGTATATATACATGCATATGTGTGTATTGAAAATTATTCATGTTATTTTTAACTATTTTGATTACATTGTATATACCTACATATGTGTTTATTTGATTCCAAAACCGTTGTGGCGTAATTTCCTTATTTATAAAATATTTTTAGAAATTTTCATAATTTCATTTTTAGAAATATGTACGTTTCTACGTGTACATGTGCTTATATAATATGTTTTTGTATGTATGACAATATTAATTGGGGTGATTCAATACCATTGAAATTACCACAATAAATTTAATGAGAGGAGTGATATTAAATTATTTTTACATTTAATTGAAATTTTAATAATTGTTTTCAATATTTCAATAAAAATTTATATTGTGTATTATTTGATATATTAATTGTTTAAGAAAATATTTGGAAAAATATTTTATAAACAATTCTAAGGTTTAGTAATTAAATAGATGCAATTACAGGTTAATTTATATTAATTAGAAATCCTTTAATTTATTAATATTTCTAATTTATTTTAAAATTCCTGGTATTTTAAAAGGATTAGCTATAAATCTATTGGGCTTTTATAATTTTACTGAAAAACATCATTTAATCAATGTGAATTGAGTAAATATATATAGAGTAAATGAGTAAATATATATTGAGTAAAAATATAGTCTCATTATTTTGAAATTTACCACATTTCACCCTCTCCAAAAACTCAATTACATTTTAGGCCCTATAGATTAATTTAAATCTTAAGAAGTTGAAATTAAACTTGAAATTACAAAATTTTTGACTTACTGCATTATATTTGTTTAAATAAATTAATTGTCATTTAACAATTATCACAGCGTTTAGACTTGAAAAGAAATTTAATTTTATAAAATTTTGCTATATTCACAATTTAATAAATATTTATGATAAGAGTATTTTGTTAAATAAAATTATGTTTAATCCGCTAATTATGTACGGTGAATTAAAAAAAAAATTCTGGTGAATGAAATGAAATGTGACAAGTACGCGAATTTGTCAAAAACAAAAACAATTTTATTATGGATAATTTACTGAAAAATATTGTCACAACATTGCATTGCTGCCATAGCTGCAAAAATAAAATTGACGAATAAATTAACTCGTTATACATAAATATCACTAAATCTTAGTGAATTCACCAGCTCAAAAAAATTTGATAAATTGGCGTATTCAACGCATTTATATTTAAATTTAATATTTAATATTAATAAAAATTAATTTCTAAAAATTTTTTAATTTCTTTTTTTTATATTTTATTATTTTTATTACAGCACAAGATTCGCATATGAAACATGCATTTATAATAGCGCACGATATAAATGTTATAAAAATTCAGCATTATTTGCCAAAGAAGTAGCCAGATTGCTATCAGATGAAACACATTTTAAAAGTTGTAGACACTATGAAAATTTATTATGTGTAGGATGTTTTAGATCTTCAATAAATTTTATATTATTGGTAATAAGTTCCATATTAATATTTTTATTTTGTTAAATTAAAATAATTAAAATATTGTGTACAATTTATAAAAGAAAAAAGAAAAAATTGTCAGAATGTCAAAAAAAATTTAAAAATATTTATTATTAATTTTTTTAGTGTATAGTTAAATTAATAAATTAATTGAAAAAAAAATTTAAAATATTTTAATAATTATGTTCAGTAAGTTAATAAATTTAAATTTAGTTCCTTTTAGCAATTATGTATATTATTTTTAAAATGGAATTACAAAATAAACGTTTAGAAAAAAATTTGGTAAAAATTTTTGGTATTTTTGATTTCAAAGGCTTCTTTTTTAGTCGACCCATTTGGACCTTTTGTGATTTGGGATTCAGTTGCATGAATACTATTATACTCATTACGAATTTCATTATCACGTGCGCTTAGAGCCGTAAAACATCCGAAGGAGTTATGAAATCCTGCCCGAAGAACCCTAGCTTAGAGCAAGCCACATCATCAAACTCGCATAACAAATGTTTTGCCGTCTCAAATAACTTAATTACATTAAGAAATTTTTCAGTAAGTGATTTTCTAATTTTAATACTTTCCATTTTTGTTAAAGCAACCATATTCTCGAAAAATGTCATATCCTTTCAATTATTTAGAAATATTCAAAATCTTATAAATTTTCAATGTTAATCCTCGTACTTGACTCTCAATATTTATTATTTGTAAGTATTTGATATCTTATCTTCTCGAAAAGTGTTCTTTTACCCTAAAAAATGTCATTTTAAAATTTATTTTTAATTAATCTTTTTTTTTTGCGTTTATATATGTATAAATAAATGAACCTATACAGAGTAATTAAAATCGCATAGAAAAATCTGAAAGACTTTTGTAAATATTATTTTCTTCCCTTCCTTTGATAACATTAATTATTATTAATTATTCAAAAGGGAGAATTTTTTTTTTAAATCGCGACCTACAGTAATTATAATGAGATTATCCAAAAATGCTGTTAAAACCACGTTAACGGTTCATTGAAACATTTTTTTTTTTTCAATTTTCTTTTATATCCTTAAGGTTATTTTAATAAATTTTTGAAATATTATACACGTTTTTTAAAACCTTAAAGATTATTTTGAGTAATAAATTTAAATAAATTGGGTAAAATTATAGAATTCAGGTGTTAAAAAAGTTTTTGTGTGTTTGTTTGTGTGTAAACAAAAGTAATTGTGTACAAAATTTATTTAATTTTTACAAAAATTACATCATATTGTACATACATATGAACATAATAAAAGAGTCTATATATGTATGCATTGTTGTGACCAATACTAAAGCGAATTCGTGAATTTGGACGGTGTATAAACGGGGGATTGTAGATTCTAAGGGAACCGAGTGGGACAGGAGCATCCCCCAAGCCACCGCAGCCATTTTTGACTTATTGTAGCCATAAACGGGGGATAGGAAGGCAGTGTTTAAAATTTGCTTTCGGGCACAATATCAAATTAATGAAAATTTACCAAATCACAAAAACAAAAAATGATTATTTATACATTAAAAATAATTAAATTTAAATTTTGATGATAATTCATTGAATTGAAATTGTGTAATAATTATAAAACTGTACAGGAGTGTAAAACATTTAAGTTTAAAGCACAAGGGTTTTGGGTTCACTGAATTTTTTCCTATATATTAAACATTAAAAATGGAGATGTTTCTTATCCACAAATATGCATTAGAGTTAAGGGTCTTTTTCTCACTCCATCTCATCTTTCTGCCTTTGTTTTCATATATGTTATACCAACACTTATCTGACAACTAAAAATATTAGAGATTTTAAAAGTCTTGATCAGTTTTAGAAATGATTTTTTATGATATGAGATAACTATTTTGAGCTGAATGTATGTACAATGGATTTGGGATCTATTTCCAATTGAAAAATTTAATTTAAAGAAAATTAATAAATTTACATAAGCGCATTTTATTTTGTTGTTTTAGTAAATTTTTTAATCAAAATTCTGTATATAAACTTAAATATTCCAAGAATTTTTCAGGCTTTCTTTCTAGTATTTGTATTTTCTAAGCCATCAATTTTCATTGATGAATACTCCTAAACACTTATTGTGATTTGGCTTTCTTATTGATATTAACATTCAGTTCATGTAGTTTCATCTCATTTCAGTGTTCATGAATTTTCATATCATTTTTCATTACGTTATCTAATAGTGCTTATATACTGAAAGCTAGGTTTTTATGAATTGACATATTGTAAGTGATTAGAAGCTTTTGCTTCGAAATATGACGTGAGAATTTTGTATATGAATTTTAGAATAAGTTTTGACAACTCGCCATTAATTTTATTAATATAAAATGGCAAAATCAATATGGTCTATTTTATAAACATACTTTCATAAATGAAAAGAATAAAATAATTTATTAGATTATGCATTCCGATATAAAATAATAATTGAAAATAATGAGGGTTTCAAATGGAATTGTAAAAAATGGAAGAATACATTTCCGGTTCTTAATTTTTTTTCAGTTTTAAACTGTCATTTTTTTTAAAATTTCGTTTCTTTTCTATCAACAAATTATTAAACGGAAATTTTTTGTATACAACCCTTATATTAATTTAACAAGAATTCAAATTGCAATTTATTTATTATGACTGCATACACTTTTCGTAATTAAAAATAATTTCTTTTTTATTTTAAATTTTTACTTTTAAAATTAAACGAATTTTTCTTTTCTGCTATAAAAAGTATCTTTAATCTAATTAGAACGCAATAAAAACACTTCCTGTATAGCAATGAAATAAAAAATTCACTCAAACATCTCAGTTTACACCTTTATTTTTTATTGTGTGTTTTGTTTTTTCTATTCTCTTTGTTTATGTTTTCATCTTTCTCAATTGGTATTGCCATCGGGAAAAGTTTTCAAATGTAAAACATTGTATACTTGACACTTTTAAGAGTTAAAAAAATTTAACAAATAAACTTTTAATGTTATTTCAAAGATAAAGTTTTGAAATTAAAAACTTGCATACAAAGTTGAAATTTTCAAAGAAATACAAGTGTATCAACTTTAATATACTCACATGGAATTCAAATGTAGAAGTGACGTGAAAACTCGAAAAAATTTTGGTAAAATTTTAAAAATTTGATGACACTTGCAAGGAATTAACCCATAATTTCAAAATAACAAGAATAAATATTATTAAAATAATTCTACATTCATTTGTATATCAACTCAATCTCATCTACAGTATGCAGCATTAATTATCACCTTAAGCCATTCAAATTTGCCACAATAATATTAATCACAATTAATCAGCTAGACTAATAGAGAAATAAAAATAACTATAGAGATATGCTAATTATAGAGATATATAGCTAAACAAAGCATTGGATCGGACCGGCAAGGTTTTCCAGTGTCTTATTGAATGTGTGAAATGGCGATTCGTTATACCGAAACAAGGCATGTAAATGTTCTTGATTTAAAAAATCTTACGTTGTTGTATAAGTAACTCGTGTAGTAAGTTTTCATAATTTTTACCAAAAAAAACAACGATCGAAAATCAAGGTATCACATTTGAAAAACTGTGGAATATATAACGAAACGTAGTCTCTACCCCCGAAATTTTATTAGAAATGTCATAACAATAACAATTGTGAAACTATCCGTATGAAGCAGTTCTCGATAAATAAGTCCAACTAATATCAACAAATATAATTAAACATCAATAACAAATAAGAGCACCAATAGGAAATCTGATAAGTACCACTAGCAAAAATTGCCTGTTAATCATTCCTTAAGTACAATCATAGATCAGTGTCGTTGCATGTCTAGAGAAGCAAATGATTATTTAATTTCATACATAGCAACTCACGGCCAACCATTAAAAAAACACCGTCACCATTACCAAGTTTCTATCAATGTTCACCATTACCAAGTTCCTATCAGTGCAAATATAAGAATGTGACAGTGTTGTTAAAAATATTTTCGGTACAAATGCCTTTTCAGTGTACAGTTAGACTTTTGCAGTGACAACTCAAATGTTATTGTTTTAAATATATTTTATTTCTATATGGAAACAATAATATCTGTCTATGTGCCTATATTTAAGATTATGCAGAATGTATCTTGTGTCTCGAGCTGGGTCATTTATTTCTAAATTGCAATAAAATTGAAATTTTATTGATAGTTTTTAATTTTTATTACAAAAACATATTGACTATTTCAAAAAGGTTCACATATGCACTGGAAAATTTTGTAATTTTATTTTTTGCACATTCCAAAGGCGTGTTGTTCCTAAATATCTTTTATTACACGATTATTATTGTCTTCAGTAGAAATAAATTCCCAAATGTACAATAAAATTTTGAAAATTCTTATTAAAAGAAAATATTTTAGGTACCAAATGGTTTAAATATGATTTCTTGCAAATTTTTTGTACAATTATTAGTAGGGAGTAATGCAACTTCTCAAAATATAGAATACAAATGTGTTAAAAAAGGATTTTATTGTGAAGTATTTAAAAAGGGTAAAAATATGATGAAAACATGAAAATTATTTTATTGATAAAATAGCTATTTAATGTTACATTTGGAACCGCACTCAGTTTTTAAAGCACTTCAATATATTTTAGGATTGAAAGATAATATTTTAACATTCTATTGTTAATAGGAATTTATGTCGGGGAAAAAAGGACATTAAGCCTTTATATATTGGAATCTGGCAGTCTTATACGGAATTCATAGAAATACAAGTGTATGGGATTTGGATATTATAATGTAAAAGAGTGTTTATCTGCCGAAAGTTAAAAGAAAAAAAAAATTTCATTTTCCTGTTTATTTTTATTTCGGTTTATTTAATATTTTTTTTCTTATTTAAAATTCTAGACAAAAAATTTTATTTTTTAAAGTAACCCTTTTGTTTATTTAAACCTTCCCAATTTTTTATTAAGATCTTCAGTTTTTGAATTTATTCAAAGAAAATTTTCATTCCGCAAAGTAGAATTTATAAAAATGAAAATCAGCAATCACATTACGCATCATAAGTTTTTTATTACTCAAACCGGAAAGATTTCCACTCTTCAATGTGGCCAACCACAAAATTGAATATAATTT